TTCCTCAATGTCTGTTTGTCTATTTGTAATTACAATTGAAGGATTAGAGTGGTCACTGTTGATCATTCAACTAGCTTTCTTCAGCAATAGTAGAGGTTACCATCCCTACAGCAGACCTCTCCCCTGAATGGGAGCATGCTCCAGTCCTCTTTGGGTGGGTGGATGGAATGTTCCTGCAAATGGATTTCTTTCCAGATTGAGCAAACAAACAGCATGTTAAGGATTTGCCTCAATAAATCCAAGTAAGCCAGGGAAGACATTTCTCTGTGAGTAGGGAGTTTCAGAACATTTCGTTCCTCTCCAAAGATGCTTTCCTATTATTTTTCCCTTTCCTAAAGAAAGAGCCACCACTTTACAGAAGGACTTCATCTCATTCATTGTATCTTAGGAGAAAATACCACAGCCAGCTCTCTGTGTACCAGAGCTGAGGACCAGCCCAGCTGGGCTGGCAGTCCTTCAATTAATTATGTTGCTAATTGCCACACAGGCTGCTCATTCATTCAACATCATTCAACAAATATTTCCAGCCCTGGCTGATGATGATCTTGGAGTTTTTCCAGGGCTCTGTGGGGAAGGCTGGTACTTGCTTCTTCAGTGACCCATTCCAGATGTCCCTATTTGTTTGTGATTTTCTTGGCACTATTTTCCCTGTCAAACCAATCTACTTATAGTTTCCCAAAATTCCTTAAAATGTTTGATCTGCTGATAAAACCTTCTCTGTTTTTCAGGACTGCTAAGAATTTAATCTCATTCTTATACTTTGTTAGTCATTTTCCTGGAATCTGAAGAGGAAATGAAGAGGTATATGTGTGCTTTGTCCACCCTCATGATATGGAGATTAGGTTCCTAACTGATTAGTTTCTTAATTTACTAGAGTTTCTTGAATAAATTTCCAAGATGTATGTGTTGGTTACTATACTGCATCCATACACATGCTAGATGTGTATGCATCTTGCATATCTGAGAATTTTAGCACCTTCTCACATAAACAACAGCTGGGTATAAAATTATGTCTCACAATCTTTTCATCTCATAATTCCTTGGGTGTTGCACCATAATTATCTGATATTAGGGGGTGCATTCTGGTGACCAACTGCTTTCAGTTCTCATTTAGGTAGCTGTTTTCCTTCCACTCAGATGCTTAATGTATTTTTTCCACTAAACAGGAAATTTCAAAACCATATTTAGAATATAACTCAATGTGGTTCTTGTCATACTTCATCATCCCTCATATCTCTGCTGTCATTTTGCAATGCAGAAGATACAACTCTCTGCCATTCATTTGTCTTCTCTCTTCCATATAGTTCTTGTACATTTTCTCAAATCTCTTCCCTTCTTCCAAGGCATACCTACTCTATCCATTGAACTCCCCTTCAACAAAAAACTCTTCTACTTCCTCTAATCACTTCATATTCATGCCATGTTTGAAATCCTATTCTCCCCTTAGAAAACCCTTCCCTGCAGCCTTTCCAAATACTTAAAGGGCCAAGATTTTCCATATGCTATTTAAAGGCTAAGCCTTTCAATTACATCCTGGCAGCCTCCTAATGCCTCATCTCCAGGTTATCACCCCTTCACTGTTGGAGAAGAGTTGCAAAGCCTTCCCCATGCCTCCAATTGCAGGTATCATCAGCATCGTCTTAGTAGATTTCTCTTCTGTTCTTAGTAGATTTCTCTTCTGCTCTTAGTATTATTCTCTGCTCACTTTCCATATTTGCTTAGACAAAGATCTTTTCTCCCATGGAAACATTAACCATGTATATGCTAAACTCTCAGAAGGCCCTATCTTCACCCTAGTTTCTCCTTTCCCCGTTCCAATTGCCTATTCAATGCATTAAACTTAACATGTTCAAAGCAGAAGTCATCATCCAACCTTTCTCCTGAGATTTCCATCTCAGAGAATGGCATTTAATTGCTCCAAACCAGATATCTGACTGTCATACTTCTCCTTGATGTTCACATCCAATTAAGGTTAATTTTAATTATAAAAAAGTCTCATATCTATCTATTTTTATCCATTCCCATGGTCACTCTCCTAGTTTACATTGCCTTTTCCTCCCTAAATTCCTGTGATGGCCTCTAATCAGTCTCTCACCATTTGTCTGTCTCTTCTACTATTGATTGTCCACATTCACTAGAGAGCCTTTTTGAAAAATACATACAATCATTACGGAAAGTCCTTGTCCGTGTGTTGCATTGTCCTTATTTTCATCAGGATTATAATTAAAGCAATTCATATAGTGGACCAAATCTTTTGTAAGTTAGCCTCTGCTTTTCCTTCAACCTCATTAACTCAACTTTTCTCTGATTTTTCAGCCTTACAGAAATGTTCTTAGTTGTTTAAATGTGACAGTTTCTTTTTCAGGTTTGTGACTTTACCCAGGCTTTTACTTCTGTCTGGATTACTTCCCATCTCACCCAAGACATTTTTCTTCATCTAGATAATGCCTAGGTATTCCTCAAGTCTGCTCAAATATCACTTCTTCTGGAAAGTGATATTTTCATGATCCCCAAGCCAATTAAAGTGCACCTCTGGTAAGCTTTTCAATTCTGTAATAGCACTTCCCATGCTCTATGCTACTGATTGTGATTTGCTTGTCATCTAAGGTAGATAGAGTTGGAATAGGTATCATGTTTGTTTCATCTAATACATTTTTTTTTTTTGCTTTTCTCAGTACCTGTAATATAAATGTGCTCAATAATTTCCAGTCAGTGGCTCTTTAAAATAAGTTGTTTCTGTTACTTGCTAAGCCTTTTAAAATAAGATCATAACCCTTCCTCATTTTAGCAACATTATCTTCCATCACTATTTTGATTATTTCTTCTTCCTAATTTGCTTTCTTTTTCACTTTTGGAATTTCTAATATCCATCAAACGGGTATTTGCTTTGCTTTCTCTCTGAGCGCCAGGAGAGTTTCTTAAACTTCTACTTGAGTGATTCAATATTCTGCACAGCCTATGTCCAGTTCACTTCTTTCATGACGTTTTAAAATATAACCAGCTTGGCAAGGCTGTAGAGGAAAGGGAATGCTTATGCACTGTTGGTGAGAATGTAAATTAGTCCAGCCACTGTGGAAAGCAGTTTGGCAATTTCTCAAAGAACTTAAAACAGAACTACCATTTGACCCAGAAATCCAATTACTGGGTATATACCCTGAAAGAAAACAAATCATTCTAACCAAAAAGACACATGCACTCACATGTTTATCACAGCACTATTCAAAATAGCAAAGACATGGAATCAACCTAGGTACTCGTTAACAGTGAATTGGATAAATAAAATATAGTATATACATTATGGAATGGTATGTGTCTGCAAAAATAATGAAAACATGTCCTCTGACACAACAGAGAGGTAGCTGGAGGCCATCCATGGAGGCTTAGGCTTATCGTAAGCAAATTAACCCAAGAAGAGAAAACCAAATACTGCATGTTCTTACTTATAAGTGAGAAACGAACATTGGACATAAAGATGGCAACACTACACACTGGGGACTACTGGGGGTTGGGGCAAGAGTTGAAAACTGCTGGGTACCAACCTTAGTACCTAGATGGCAGCATCACTGGTACCCAAAAATCTCAGCATCATGCAATATACTTAGGTAAAAAACCTGCACATGTACCCCATGACTTTAAAATAAAAGTTGATTAAAATAAAATAAAACAAAATCCTGACTTTACATCAGTGTCTTTTTTTTTTTCGTTTTTTGAAACGGTTTCTCTCTGTCGCCCAGAGTGCTAGAGTGCAAATGGCATGATCTCAGCTCACTGCAACCTCCGCTTCCTGGGTTCAAGCAATTCTCCTGTCTCACCCTCCTCAGTGGCTAGGATTACAGGTGCATGCCACCATGCCCAGCTAATTTTTGTATTTTTATATTTTCAGTAAAGACAGGGTTTCACCATGTTGGTAAGGCTGGTGTTGAACTCCTGACCTCGTGATATGCCTGCCTCGGCCTCCCAAAGTGCTGGGATTACAGGCGTGAGACACCGCCTCAGATCTGTACGTTTTCATGACTGTCGACTCTAGCTCCCCAGATGCCACATCCTCTCAAACTTCGGTCAAAAATATCAATTAGAGATTTTCTGATACTTTATTCTATCTCATGTTAGTAATTTCACTTAACAGTCTATATTTGCTGGGTTTCTCATGTTGTTTCCCTTGTTTTGCAGAATCTTTTCTTTGTCTATGTTTAAATTTTTTTCTGTTTACTTAGACCTACAGAGTGCGTTTCAAACAGGTTCTGTTTGAATTGCTAAGTACAATACTTTTAAATCTCTCGGATCCAGGAAAAAGACGGATGAAAAATCTGGAAGTGTTTGCTGAGGCTGAGATCCGCTTTTCAGTAAGTAATAGAAAACAGCAAGTGGGAGCACTGCCTGCGTGCTGCAGGTTGCGCTCCTGGGTTTGTTGTAGAATGAGAAGTCAGCTGGATCAGCACCCCATGCAATATTGGCTCCATCCCTGCTAGGCGTATGTGAAGAAAGAGTGCCACACCTGGCTTCTCTGCCCTGAATGATCTCTTGTACTTTGATCTTTTGCCAAAATCAAGGCTCATCCTTCCCTGGGGCCAATCTGTCCAAGCTCAGGAGTCATTTCCAGATAACATGGAGTTCGTCCAGAGGACCTTCAACTTATTCCTCAACTAGGCTTTTCCTTCAAGCAGTGAAGCCCATTAGCCAATCCCTTCCCCTCTTCACTTCGTGTTGTAAACGTGCCTTACGATTTCCATCACGTTGATGGCAACAATCAATAATTTCTGTTTGGTAAAGATTTTTCTCTGTTCATTCTTTGCCACATAAATTGGAAAGTAAAAACAGCCATCATAACCCAAATGTTCTTTAGAGAATCTCACGTTCATTGCTTTTATTTCATCCGTGGTGTGCCGGAAGTTACGTAATCCGTGTTGTGACTGTTACTCGTCCCTGTGGAAACAGTCTAAATGGCCTAAGATTCCTTTGCACTATGGCTCCCCCTTCTGGTTCTACAATGAGCAGTAAGTCTGTCCTGTACTTAAAATCTATCTCCTAGAATACTGATTAGGCTTGAGGAAAGTGGAGAAATTCCCAGTTGGAGAAAGACACTCTCTACTGAATGGTTACTTCAGATTCCTAAGGAGCGTTTAGCGTTTCTTAAAGAAACTGCCAGCAGGAATTTGAGTACAACAGCCAGCAACAATTTGATGTGGATCAGGGGAACTCTTGAAGTCAGCTTAAGGATGGTCCTGCCTTGGTCTGCACTCTTTAAAAGGTCAACAGGGAAACACAAACTCTGTGCACTGCGAAGGTATGCCTAGATAGCACATGGAAAAGAATGTTTTCTGTCCACCTGTAGCAATCCTGCTCTTGGAGGGTTGGAAAATGGCTTCAGTGAGTTTATGAGATGAAGAAACACTCTTTGTGATTGAAAGCACACCCGCACCCAAACACAATTTCTATTTTTTCTTAACAAGATAAAGATGGGATAATTTAATAATCAGGGAATTCTTTGTTAATAATTCCATTTGTCCTTTATTATCATCCATAATGGTTTAAAAATTATAGTCTAATTGGTGTCTTATGATTTCATCAAATTCAACATTATGAAATTTAATCAATAAGAGAGGTCTCTGTTGTTCATGACTCAAAGAAAAAAATTGATGAAAAAAATGAGAATAAATTTGTTTTTCCCTTGCAGCTTATGGTGCTCTCACCATACATGTGTTTTCTGTTTCGAAGTCTGACCTCTCCTTTCCTTCTTACCTCAGGCTATAGTTTCAACTAGTAGTAACAATAATCATCTGAGTGTGAGTATGTGTGTGCCTGTGTCTATGCCTTAGTTTAATAATTATTTCTATGCATGCACATCCATTTGAAATTACTGTCAAAATATTAAGAAAACATTCTGGGAATTAATAATTGACTAAAAATAATGTTTTCCTTGTGCTAAATAGAGAGACTTTGCTTAATAAAATTATTATGTTAAGGATAACATGCTCAGTGGTTTTCATTATGTGAATCAGGCATAGTTACTATTTTTCATGAAATCAGACTCTCATTTTCTTCTTGGTTCTCCTTTTATTCGACGTTAGACTTATTTTGCATCTTCACCCCTCTGTAGAGTCTGGCTATGGCAGTCTATGTAATTAAGTTCTGACACACATCTACATCATTTGAAAATAATGATGTTTTGAAAAAAGAGTGTATTGTTTTAAAAAATCTTTTTAAAAAGCAAGCTCCATGAAGAAACTTAAGCTGCAGCGAGATGACATTTGTTCCTGTTCTTACAGCTCACAGAGGACAAGGGAAGCCCAGGAGTGGTTATTCATATTTCCTTCTGTCTTCAAAATGCTTTGTAATAACAATCATAAGGCCAGCTGTGACGTTATTATAATGGATTCACTATTTACTCTACATTTTTCAAGACACACTGCCCTACGTTTTCCTTGAGTATCCCCTATCCCCAACCCCAGTCAATTTGGTCCACGTTGGCTAATCAGAGCACGAACTTCCTCTCCTGGTGACTGGGGTCTCCATGGCCAATGACTCAAGTTGGGCAATCAATAAATCCCTCGATTTTCATGGGAGTGGGCAGATATAAGTAGAAGGCAATGTTTCCTCTTAGGTTGAACTGAACCTGGGAGGCAACCACTTTGTCACTGCATGGAACATAGAACACAGAGCTGAGAAATGAAGTGACAATTATGTCACTTGAGGCACTGGATGGATCAATGCTTAAAGCCTTGAGCTTCTCAGTTATGTGAAACAATGCCATCTCTTTTTTTCCTTTGTAAATTTTTTGGGCTTTCCACCATTTGCCACAAAAAGAGTTTCAACTGATTAAAAAAGAAATTGCTAAGTTTGAGTTTTAAAACAAAGAATCACAATACATCAGAATGATACTTCCGCACACAAGCTCATTGCTATAGCCGAAAGAAGCAGCATGAAGGAGGGCTGGACACACACGTTTGCCTTCACTTGCTTTGCTGCCTCTCTCCAGGGGCAGAAAACAAAGGCTGAAATAGAAGTTAGAGCTTCCTTGTGACTTCTGTGTAAATTGTACATTGAAGTTCAGAGCATGCTACTTGCCGATTTAGATGTTTCTCTTAGAGGTTGTTTTTTATTTGGTGTTGCATTTTGTAGAGTTGGAATTATCAACAGGTAATTTTTTACTCCACTATTGTTCAAACTTGGTTGAAGGTAGAGGATTGCTCTAAAAACTAAAAGGAGAGCAGAGCTGCTTGGATTCGACACACATACTCAGTTTTCTCTTCAGCCTTCCCATACCTCTCTGCTCCTCCCTTCCCAGTGGCTGAGGTTGTTTTGAGGAGCTGTGGGAGACCCACAGCACCCCAAGAAAAGTTTTCTAATTTTGACCAAGTGCCCTCTCCTGCAGATGGGGAAACTGAGGTCCAAAAACCTTGAGGAAATTCCTTAAGTTGCCCAACCAGTCAGGCTTAGCACTGTTAGGAAGTCATTTGATGACTATTGTCATATTTAAAAAGTATTTTATCAATACTTAATGTCTACAAGTAATATATAAATACATGTTAACAGTATCATATTTTTAAAAAATAGTCCAATAGTCTAAAAATAAAGTTCCTCTGAACTCTCCTGTCTCCGAAGGAGGAACTACATAGTTATTAGCATGGAACATTCACTTCCTGGGTCTTTCATGTGTGTATCTGCAGAGATACAGAGTATCCCTTCAAGGGATATTATATTTAAAAAATAGCATTATTCTGTGCATATCATTTGCATAGTGAGTTGCAGATCAGTTCTTGCAGAATAATTCCCATGTCTTTTTTTTTTTCTTTTAATTTTTTATTGGATTTTAGGTTTTGGGGTACCTGAGCAGAGCATGCAAGACAGTTGCGTAGGTACGCACATGGCAGTGTGCTTTGCTTTGCTTCTCCCCTTCACCCACATTTGGCATTTCTCCCCAGGCTACATTGTTCCCTCAGAGTGCTGAACTTTGAGAACAAAGCATTATAGAAAAGTAAAAAACAACCTTCAAGGCCGGGTGAGGTGGCTCACATCTCTAGTTCCAGCACTTTAGGAGGCTGAGGCAGGCAGATCACTTGAGGTCAGGAATCTGTAACCAGCCTGGCCAACATGGTCAAACCCTGTCTCTACTAAAAATACAAAAATAGCCAGGTGTGGTGGTGCACAGCTGTAATCCCAGCTACTCAGGAGGCTGAAACATGAGAGAATTGCTTGAACCTGGGAGGCAGAGGTTGCAGTGAACCAAGATCACACCACTGCATTCCAGCCTGGGCAACAGAGTGAGCTTTTCCTCTTTAAAACTTCGTGTTCTGTATTTTATTATCTTCACACACTCTCATTGATAAAGCTATTTTCAGGCAAAGCATTTATTATAGTTAAGAATTGTCTCTGTATTTGCTCTGGGATTAGCTTGTTAAGTGGTATCTTCCAGTCTTTTAAATCTATGCCTTCTATCAGAAATCTAAAACACTGAGTTCTTCCTTAATGTTATTTGAAATTTCAAAACAGATAAAACAAATGAAAACAAATATGCAATAAATACACCTTTTTAAGCTACATTTTCTCATATAGTGTTTTCTCCCAGTCACCGCGTGTTCAACATAACCAGATAGTTGCCACTCCACTCAGCGACCCCCACCTCACCTAGTGTGACATTTCTCTGACGAACATTCCAGTTGATAACTCAGAGGTGACTAAACATTTATATTCCATATACAGTGATAATGCAGCTGCATTTTAGAATATTGGAGAACAAATAATAGACATTACAACAATATAATGACTGATAAACTCATTCAGAAAAGCTGGAGTCAGCTGCCTTCTGAATTTATGGAAAACTCCTATACAATTCCTCAAGATTATTTAAACATGGCAGAAAAGTCAGGATGCTGTGATTTTCTTTTTATTCGTAGTGTTATTTAGAGTTTAGTTTTCTGGTCTATAGTGTGGGAAAAAGGAGAAAAACAAAGTCACCTCTCAACTTTGACTTTTCCTTGAACTATCTGCCCCGAAATGTTTTCCTTCCCCCAACTCCTTAGAGTTTGACACAAACTAAGAGTGGCAAACACTATAGATGAGGTGATGGGCAAGCTGTAAGGAGCTGAGATTGCTATCTGCAGATTAACCACAGAGGCCCTGAAATGGGGCTGGGATGTTTCAAGAATTTCCCATGAGGCTTCCAGGTCAGCTTACGGGAACAAGTTGGCTCCACTCTGATCTCGGCTCCAAGAGTTCTGCAAGATCATTTCTCATCTTTGACAGAACATGGGCAAGTGGGGAAGAAAATATATGAAATGCTACTAAGAAAAGCAATGTGATCTAATTTGTTTTAGGTGGGGTTTTTGTTTACTGGGAGAAAAATGACTCATGAACTGACCAAAGAAAGGTATGCAGGGATTTCTCTCAGCCTCCATCTCTACACTTGTCCACAACCAAATACAACATTTTTTTTTTCTCCAGGACAAGCCACTTGGGGGATTGGTCAAGACGGACCCCTGCAAACACACACATTTAATTTCTTGTGTGTCTCCTGTCTATCAGACTCTGCTTGCCTGAGAGCAGTTCGAGGTCCCACCCACTCATATCACCCACCCAGTGACAACTGTACCCCCTTGAACTCTGTCAAGAGAGCTAAAGCCTCTCAGGAGCACCCACAAATCTATTTTCCACTGAGGTCTAGGCCTCCATGTTGATGAAACATAATTGAAGTAGGAAAAACTCACTAGTGATACTATCAGATGATTTTTTTTCTTTTCTTTTCTTTTTTTAGATGGAGTTTTGCTCTTGTTGCCCAGGTTAGAGTACAATGGCATGATCCCGGCTCACTGTAACCTCTGCCTCCCAGGTTCAAACAATTCTCCTGCCTCAGCCTCCCAAGTAGCTGGGACTATAGGCATGTGCCACCAGGCCCCACTAATTTTGTATTTTTAGTAGAGACGGGGTTTCTCTCTGTTGGTCAGGCTATTCTCTAACTCCCAACCTCCGGTGATCCACCACCTCAGCCTCCCAAAGTGCTAGGATTACAGGCATGAGTGCTCTGATTTTATAGTCTTCTAGCAAACCTATTATAGTATGAACTTTCATGAGGATACTGATGTAGGAGAATATAAAAATTTGACAATATTCGACAATTAAGGAACTGGCCTTCAGGCTCACACAGCAAACTCTCCTGGACTTGTTTCGAATGAGCCACAGGCAGGCATCAGGCCAGGATCCTGAGGACATGGGGCGCCCACATCTGAAATTCAAGGGCCCTCTCTTTCCCAGGTGTAAAATGAGAGATGAGGTCCTGCTTAACTGACCAAGCAGATTCCCTGAAGAGACCTTTCAACTACAACTGGCTCATCGAGGGAAACATAGATTTGCTGTTGTCAGCTAAAAATTTGTATGGGAAAAAATAATGGGAAATAACGATGGGCAAGTTAAGATCCCAAATGGCAGGCTACTATCTTTGGTTTTAACTGTCTTTAGCAGAAAATCATCCAAAGTTTTTGAATGTTTAGTGAAGGTGGTGGGAGAATAAGAAGGACAGAGGAGGGAAATGGACCATATACGAATGTTGTATTTTTATTTCTCATACATAATTTTACCTAACCCTGTGAACATTATGCAGCATAAATGGCTATTCACATTTTACAGATGAGCAAACCAGGGCTGACAGAGCTTTAAGCTGGTCACCTGGTGGAACTTGAAACAAAGACAGATATTTTGATTCCAAATGCAGTGTTCATTTTCATATTATTTAAATAGTTCTGTATCCTTGTAAGACCACTTCTATCCATGTCAAGCCACATTATGGTAGTATTTGTCTGAAACCCTGGAAAGATACACTCCTTCCCCACTGGCGTAGAGAAAGGTCTACAAATAGCTTTCTACTGTATGAAGCTGAGCATAAGCTTAGGCCTAGGAATTCAGTGAACTGCGTGTCTACCAAGCATGTATGATTGTCTTCACCAATTTGCCCCTGCTAGGACTAGACCCTTACTCTGGGTTCTAACTGATTGACTTAAGTAAGTTTATCACATATCTTGACCCTGGCCTTGCCCCTTCCATCTGCCTATCTTATTAAGGGATAACACATTATATTAATAGTTTGGTTGAGGGTAGTACTAGATATTGGAAGAAACTGGTTACTGTAGACAATTGACCTAATGATGAATGCCAACATCGGTGTATAAACTTACAAAAATAGCCCAACAGTTTTGGTATGTTTGATAGTCAAAATGAAAATTTAAATAAAACATACTTTTGAACACAAAAATTGTTTTGTTGTTATCTAATCACAATTATCCAAAGGAAGAGAGTTCAGTGGATATTGATAAAGGGGAAATGAGGAAGTTCTTATGTAATTATAACAGTAAATGGGGATTTAGGTATTTTAGTTTAAAAAACTTCATGATTCCAAGTAGAGATGTAACGTAGAACTAGGATAATGAGAAGTATTATTCAATTTCAATGGAAAATCCTAGAGACTGTCATCCATTAACAGAAGGTTTTTTTTTTTCAACACTGATGATCCAGAAAACAAGCTCATATTACCAAGTGTGAAATTAGAACAAGCATCTACAGGCTGAGAACTGGAAAAGACCCTCCCCATCATGGCGGATTTTTACAACCAGTGGTGGAGAGTAACTGCAAACTATAGCATCTTTCTACTCATCTTACCAAAAAAAAAGTTCAAAGAAGGTGTTCTACAAGGTAAATGCAAAGGTAGATAAGCAAAATAATATTTTATGTTAAATAAACAAGGCACTTCTTCAGTCTTCTCTACACACAGAACATGTCAGCTAGTTTTCTAAGACATTGTAAATGGCCCCACTGAATTGCCTTAAATTTAAGTTTAGGCCCACATTATGCTATAAACTGCCTAATAGATACCATTCTGAATTTTACTGATTAATATTTATTACAGGGATGGATGAAAATGAAGAGGAGTAAAGCTTCTTTACTCTTACTGTAACCAATTGGCCTAATAATTAATGTCAATATCAGTCCACAGACTTACAAAATAATCCAACATTTTTGATAACCAAAATACATAAATAAAATATACTTTGAATACAAAAATTGTTTCATTGTTAGCTAATAACAGTTATCCAAAGTAAGAGAGTTCAGTAGATATTGGTAAAGGGAAATGAGGAAGTTGGTATGCAATTATAGCAGTGAGTGGGGATTTAGGTGTTTTGGTTAGAGTATATGCTAAACACTGTACAAATACTATTTTATTTCAGCCTAGCAACAATTATGCTGTATTTCTCTACTATAATAATGACAACAAGGCTCAAAATAAAAACAAGAAACCTTTACGAAATTACACAAAGTGTATGTGTTTGAACCTGGATTTGCGTCCAACTCTGCTTGACTCTGAAAACCACGCCCTTTCCCCTGTGTGATATATTCGTATGCTCTACCCCACTTATGGGTGGAAACTCCTCAGTCAACTTTATTTAATCAATGAATGAATGACTCCTCCAAAGGCAGATACCAGCAGATTTGGTGGTAAAGCCAGTACTGCAAAAATGCTCCATGTTTTAAGCCACCTGGCAGCCTGACTCCAAAGGAAAAGGTTCAACTTCTCATGAAAATGCCTATAATAGGCCGGGCTCGGTGGCTCTTGTCTGTAATCCCAACACTTTGGGAGTCCGAGGTGGGTGGATCATGAGGTTAGGAGTTCAAGACCAGCCTAGACAAGATGGTGAAACCCCTTTTAGTCTCTACTAAGAATACAAAAATTAGCCTGGCATGGTGGCGGGTGCCTGTAATCCCAGCTACTTGGAGGCTGAGGCAGAGAATTGCTTAAACCTGGGAGGCGGAGGTTGGAGTGAGCTGAGATTGTGCCCCTGAACTCCATCCTGGGCAACAGAGCAAGACTCAATCTCAAAAAAAACCTATAATACATACTTCCATTTTCAACACACTGCCCTCTTCCCTCTCCGGGGCATGAGGAACCATTCATTGCTTTGTTCTTCAGTATCTATCTGAATGATTTTTGACCCCTAAAGGTGTCTAAGTTGGTTACATTCCTACTCCCTGAATCTCTAGAGAAAGTGCAAGTCTCTTTGCTTTGGGCCAACTTAGGTCAGAGTTGGACGCTGGCATGAGATGCAATTTGAGATGGAGTCTCTTCTGCTTTAAACTTATGGAAGCCTTTGAGTGCCTGGCTGAGATGCTGAGTTCAGCTGAAGTGAATACTAAGGGATAAACAAACCTTTTCTTGCAGATGGAAAGCAGTCATCCTCTAGACCCATTTTCAAGTTTCTTGCTGTCCACCCCACCATCATCCAGTTAGTGTCTGTAATGTGTACTACGATGCTTCTGGCTCCAGAAGTTCATGCAGAACACATTAGACCTAATCAAACAGGAAATCTGGGTTACTCCACACTGGAGACATACATTTTACACTCTGAATCTAAAACAACGACAACAACAAAAGCGCTAGATCAGAAAATCTCCCTTGCTTTTTTTGCATCTGCCAAATAAACAGATTGTCACTAAAAGAGGCATCCGTTCATTTCCTACAAAGGACCAACAACACAATATGCATTGATTGATTGATTAATTGATTGATTATTTCTCTTGCCAAGCAAATAATTCTGGGATGCAGAGGGGAAGAAATTGGAAGATGTAATCATCAATTACTGTGTGTTGCCATCGGAAGAGGAGGAAGTCTGCCTAGAGGAGAGGCGTGCACCGTGGAAGGAGGGAGGCTTTCAAATGCTATTAAATTCCCCTTTTTCCTGCATTCAGAATTTGCTTGGGCTAAATGAACACAGATGACAGTACAGAACCCATAGGGATATATTTTAAGTCCCTCAAACCTGCGGGATCTTTCACATCATCACCATTTTACTATTTCTGTATTGAATCATCCCACGAGGATCGTATGCAGAGTCCTACTCTTTTTTGGGCCACCCTGAGGCAAAGACAAAAGCTCTCTTGGGTCATGGAGACACTGCTGCCTTCTTCCCCGTCTGCACTCTCCTGAAGTAATCAATGTTTATGGCTGCAGTTACAGTAAAAATAGCAAAAGTCAATATTTGTGCTCCGTATCTGTCAGATAATAAAGCTGGCTAAACGCATGGCCACATGACATCTGCATGCAACACACAGAGGCTGGATCCACCCCCACAAACCCATCCTTCCAGACAGTTTGTCTAAAGGTGGCGTCATATTTGTACAGCTGACATTCTCAAATCCCCCATGTGTGTCCTTAGGGAAGCTCAGAATTTTTGTTTGATTTTTGATCCTGTTGATTCTGGCTTTTAGACTGGAAAAATGTTTAAAAGAAAGAAAGAAAGAAAATATAAAAGTAAGAAAATGAAATGAGACAGAATAACCACTCAGAAAATCTATCTGACAGTCCTAAATTAAATAGAAAAGTTCTTCCCATCCCAGCCACCCACTTCAATCTAAGTAAGGTCCTTAGTGAGGGACAACCTAAAACTGACTCTGTAAATTTTCAACTACTGCTGTTTACGCCTTGCTCATATCCAAAAGGATAGAAAAAGACAAGAAATTGGTGGAAAGATTATAATAAAATCCCCTAAAACCAAGTGAGAAATTCAAGTTCCTTTTAAGGGTTGGATTTTAGTTAAAGACCTAGGATTCAGCTTTAACTCTATGACCTTGGGCAAGTATTTCACTGTAAATAGAGCCCAGATTTCTCATCTATACAGTGGGAATATTAATAGAATATAATAGAAAGCATTGTTGCAAAGATCAAATGAGATAATGTGAGAAAAGAATTTTTCACAACATGTGGTAATAAATACCGCTGATTGTTATCAAAGCAAAGTGGTTTCTGAGTGAAGCAGCTTTACTTATTCAACTACTCACCTTGGTTCAATGACTCATTCAAATCTCTGAAAGAGGTAAATGTGTTAGCCAGGCATGGTGGCACCCACCTGCAGTCCCAACTACTCAGGAGGCTGAGGCAGGGGAATCGCTTGAGTCTGGGAGATCAAGGCCACAGCAAGCCATTGGAACAGTGTTATCACCACTGTATTCCAGGCTGGGCAACAGAGTGAGACCCTGTCTCCATTAAAAAAAAAAAAGAAAAGTGGCAATTTAAAACCCAGATTTTTAAACTCACTTTGATGTTCCACTTATTTAATGTTATTATTAACCTTCCTTAACCTAATTCTTCTGCATTTCCATCTTCTTTAATATTTCCAAGTTAGAATGATTTCCCTGGCTAGGCATGGTGGCTCACACTTATAATCCCAACACTTTGGGAGGCCTAGGTGGGCAGATCACCTGAGATCAGGAGCTCGAGACCAACTGGCCAACATGGTGAAGTCCCATCTCTACTAAAAATTTTTAAAAATTAGCTGGGTGTGGTGGTGGGTGCCTGTAATCCCAGCTACTCATGAGGCTGAGGCAGGAGAATCACTTGAGCCTGGGAGGCAGAGGTTGTAGTGAGCCGAGATCGTGCCACTGTACTCCAGCCTGGGCAACAGAAGGAGACTCCATCTCAAGAACACAAAAAGAATGATTGTCCTAGTCTGGGGACATAATTGTCATTTTCTTTTTTCCTAAAATTTGGCATCAAATTTCCACTCAGGAACCCCAGAGCATTTCACAGTCTCTTTGAGCAGGCCTTCCCATGTAACATCATTTTCTTCTTCCTCTCTTGCAATTGATTGCAATCAGCAAGCTAGTTTTTCCTCTAAAACTGACGCACTGTGTAGTAGGTAGAATGATTTTAGGTGGCATGTGGATGAAATTCTGTAATTCTAAAATTCACGTATTTTAACATGTATTAGAGAAAATATAATAGCAGACCAAATCCATGATTTCCCATAAAGTAATAGAAAGCTAAGTATTACGCCATTTTAAAATGATGAAATAAAAGATTGATTAGGTGTTATGTACTTGCTCATATTTCCCAGTTTTTTAATTTTTTTATTTTTTTGAGACAGAGTCTTGCTCTTTTTGCCCAGGCTGGAGTGCAATGGCGCAATCTCAGCTCGCCGCAACCTCCGCCTCCCAGGTTCAAGCAATTCTCCTGCCTCCACCTCCTGAGTAGGTGGGACTACAGGTGCCCACCACTACGCCCAGCTAATTTTTGTATTTTTTAGTAGAGACGGGGTTTCACCATATTAGCCAGGCTGGTCTTGAACTCCTGACCTTGTGATCCACTTGTCTCGGCCTCCCAAAGTGCTGGGATTACAGGCTACAGGTCAGTGGGGTCATGTTATTGTGATGCAGGAGCATTCTGTAGCTTGCATGCAACTTTCCCATTGACTTGCCATGTGACTGACAAGGCTGAATGTTCCAGACGATACAGGTAGTAGATGGTGGACCCTCCATCAGTTTGGGTACCTGAGTGACTGTATAGAGCAAAACTCCCATTCACCCATGACAGATGCATAATATGAATGAGAAATAAATTTTTGTTGTGTTAATTCACTGTTTTGGGATAGTTAGTGAAGCAGCAAGGTAGTAAAAGAAGAACCATTAAACTGGCCACAGCAGTGATGGCAGCTTTCTTTACTGCGCCATGTAGCATGACTTCAAGTCTTTGTCATTACCTTGACAACTCTTCTGTGAGCATGTTCTAATTTGTCAAGGGCTTTCTTAAAATATGATGTTCAGAGATGAATATAACCCACCAGATGTGACTGGAATCAAACAGTTTCTCTCCATCTCTATGAACTAAGGCTACAATTCACAAGCCTTTCTTTAGCTCATCCCAT